TACTAGACACGTTAAAGGTTTTTCAATTTCATCCATTGAGATACAGTCTATTATAATCTCATTTATTTCTCTCGACAGATATACAAGAAGAAAGATGTGAATATGGCGGATGGTGAATATGTGACGAAGTAGCACTTGTTAGTAGTTCACAAGATTTCAAGTGTCTATCCCCTACCATGTTCGTAATGACATCAGTAGACTCGCAACTTGGTTTGCTAATTGAATTTTGAACTTCTCACAACACAAAAAACCTCTCTTGAGCCCAGAAAAAGATGGTGGGGAACAGTAAGTGATAACAGGTATTATAAAGGTATCCAATAATCGTAAATGTAAATCTTCAGTACACTTGTATTAGCATTTGTTCGTAAGCACATGATCTTTAAGTTTGAACATACGATATCGGAAAAGACTCGTATTAGCCGTTAGACGTTTGGAGAGGGTTAGAAATGCTGAATGTGGGGACACGTATTGGAGACGGTATGGCTCAAGCATGTGAGCGTGACCTCTCCATATAACCTCTTTCTTTCTATATTAAATATATTGTTCCATCCCTAGCCTGGATAAGTTTGTCAAAGTATCTTAAAACCTACAATGCTGACTGTCAAGTAGAATGGATCGGCAGTGTGATCTCCACATTACATCTTACTGATCAGGTAGCTACATTGTAGCAAACCAAAAATTGTGGATCAGTTCTGCTTTGCTTGTAACGGAGATAAACGTTTTTATTACCTACAAAGACAGCGATCTGACAATGGTGCTGTTAATCACACCAGTAAAAAACAAATGCTGTGTGCATTGGACTATGGAAGCTAAAACTATATTGGTGATGGACGTGTAGTTGTATCGGTTACTAACCACACGATTCCCAAATATGAACATATAATTATTAAGTAGACTGACGTTCAGCATGTAACACTTAGAGTAAGTCGTTTACTGCGAACGCTGAAAAAAGAAACGAAGTGGCATGAATCGGTCAAGGAGGCGAGGTTTCTATAACCTCATTGTTTTTGTACCATATATATTACTGTCTTTCAGCTTAAACAAGTCTTTCGGAAATGGTGGACGTCACACTGCTGACCATCGCGATAAGATGGGTCAGTGTAGAGAAGTATCTGACATTCACGTAAGATCTTATAGATTAGGTAGTCACACCATGACAAATCCACGATTTTGGGTTTAGGTCTTCTATTATAGTGGTATTAGTGCCGAAGGGAACGATAATTCTACAGATGTATGTAATCCCTCCTTTAACCATTGTCTAAAGAAAATACATAGACCACAAAAGCGAGAACTCGTTTCGTCAACGCCAATGACCAATAATTTCACTTTCAAAGGTCTTTGAACCAAGTGGATGTTAAATCGATACAATAACTATCGGAATTATCTAACTGTATTCCCCGTTCGGCAGGGAATGAGAAATTACATCAAACACAACTCTGACTATGAAGATCATTAACGCAGGTGATCTGTATCGACGATTGTAAGATTACTTTAATTTTGCGGGAACGGCGTGATTTCCTAGCCTACAATGAGGTCACAACATGTGGTTAATAAATAACATGCATTTACTCCTCGTTGCATTCATGTGGTATGGCTACCTCGATTTCTGTACAACACAAATTAAGTTACTACAGAAATATGTTAGTAAGAGTAGTAGTAGTAGTAAGAGTAGTAAGAGTAGATACAGAAAAGAGTGAAACCACAACTATATAACGCAGTCCATAGCATGAAACAAATTTACGCTCGCTGGTTGTCAGTGGTATCGATGAAGATTGACAAACTGTTTGATATTTGGTGATCTTGTAATGGCTTAGGCTGGTTGCTTGAGAGTTCACCTTGTAGGAAGCAATTTCCTACAGATTCAACTCTAAGCTAATCCCCAGACTGTCGAATACAGAGACTTGGTTCAGCCAAAGTCAGAACAAGTGAGCAATTTGGCTCGATAAACTTTATCTGTTTGTGAAACTTAAATTAACACCATTAGTGTACAAAACATACAGTATAATCTATAAACACAGGGAAAAATAGATATATAACGCACCGAACAGTAGCTAGAGAGTAGGAAAAATGAGTTAACAGAGAAAATATTGTTTTATAATAAACATGGAATGTGATTGATGAATAAATAAAACACAGTCATGCAAGGTCAAGTAAAGTTAGTGTGGTGGTGAGAGTTTCACGTTTATATTGGCGAGTTCGTTTATCGATCACATTTTACACACCTCAAACAACTATACATATGTCAAAACAGTATAGTTCAGGTATTCACTCACTTTCTTATTTTGTATAGGCGTTATATTTCCTGCTATCTTATACTGAATGTTGGGAGGCTTTGCTTGTCTGAAGAAATAATCCCACGCTCTACTGTGACTTTGCGAAGATCTAAATAAATACCTACTCACTACCTGTCTGGTTTCTTCTATCAATAGCAAGAGAGTTACATAGAGGCACAAAAAATCCCACTGTCGGATGATTTGGTCAGGGCACAATAATATTTTATTGACCTTACGACAATTACCAGTTATAACAACTGTTATGAAACTTGAGGCCAAAAATCTTTGGAAGCTATTAAAAGCTTACACTGCATTTGTAGACCGCCTGAAGTTCACAATATTGTTGCGAATAACGGCTTGAAAAGCTAGACTCCTTTACTCTGTTTGGTCACAGATTGAGGTGACCTGATTTTGACGTACTGAATAATGGGAAATGACTTTGGACCTAATATATCCTTTCCTTTTCATTCCACTATATCGAGACATTTCAGAGGACATAGCAGGCGAGTAGAAAAGCCGAGAGCGAACAGAATACCCGTGGCATTCAGGTTTTCATAGCGAGTCATAAATTCTTGGAATCTGTTACCCAAAACAGTGATGTTCGCTCCTTCAGTTGACTCATTCAAGAGAATATTAGACACAGAGAAGATTGCTAGAAAGAATAACGGGCCTTATGCCCTCTATCCTTACTATATAAATCTGAATATGGTTAAATCATACTATAAGATGACGAAAGTAGTTAAGAAAGAAACGAATAAAAATTAGTCACAATATTTACCATGCAAGTAAACCGTGCACAAAACGTTTCAGTTCAGGTGCAAATGGAAGGTGGAGCTATCTCACAATAATATAAAAAAGCTATTTCCCTCTTTAAAATAATAAGGAAACCTGGAAGCTGTTAAAGCGTAGGAAACACTTCTGGGAATTATTTTTGTTGACAGGTCATACATCATTTAAGCGTGAGTACCGAAAATTCCGAAATATTTGTAAGAAAACCGTAGCTAAATCCCGTACTACTTGCGAACGACAGTTGGCATATGATAGCCGTACTTGTCCGAAACGATCGTTTTCTTGTGTTAAACGGAGAATGAAATGTAATGATGGTATTCCCCCGTTACTGTTACACAAAAATTCAGATTTATTAACTGAATCAGATCGGGCAAAATCTGAGGCTTTTTCAGACTATTTTAGCGAAGTCTACTCTTCGTTTATTGTAACAAACACTTGTCCCACTCACACCGAGATACCAGCCACTGAATCTGTACAGGTGACTGAGGAAACTGTTCTTGCCTTGATAACTAACCTCAAACCTCGTAAGATACCGGGCCCTGACAGGTTACCTCCACGGCTGCTGTCATCTCTTGCGGACATTATTTCAAAACCGCTTGCGACACTCTTCAACGTGTCCCTTTTACTAGCTCAACTCCCTAGAGATTGTAAAGACACTAAAGTCAGTTCTATATTTAAGGATGGTCAGAAACTGATAGTATCTAACTACCGGCCTGTCAGTTTAACTAGTATAGTCGTTAAGCTACTTGAAAAGATAATTCGGGTCAGGTTGCTAAGCCACATAGATTCACACAATCTGTTAGCTTCTGAGCAACATGGGTTCCGTAACAAGCGTTCATGCTTGACTAAATTACTTATTGCGAGAGAGGATTGAACAGCAGCCTTAGACAAAGTTCTCTCTGTCGATATGATATTCATATATTTTAGAAAAGCATTTGACAAGGTTTCACACTTGGGGTTTATGTAGAAGCTCACGAATTTCGGAATGATAGGTACTGTACAGTAGTGGTTAGGCAACGTCTTACGTGACCGCGGACATAGAGTGAGGGTCAGTGGGACGCTATCCGATTAAGAGCCGGTCGAAAATGGTGCACCCCAAGGTACCATCTTAGGCCCTCTGCTCTACTTTCCCCACGTTAATGAGTTACCGCTATTGCTTAGCTTGCCGACATTATTGTTTGCGGATGATGTAAAAATCTAGAGAACAATAAAAAGTGCGGCTGATCATCTGGATCTTCAAGCTGACTTAGACGAGTTAGTTAGATGGGCTCGAGGTTAGGGCTTAGAAATCAATTCTAGGAAGAGTGTGCTAATGCACATTGGTCACGGTAATATTTACCATTATACTATTGATGGTCACTTCGCCGAGCATTCAGCTGTATTGATGAGGAAATGTTTCGAATTTTATATCCCACATATGTAAGACCACATTTAGAGTACTTTATCTAAGCAGCTAGCCCATGTCTGGTAAAAGATACTAACTCACTTGAGCGTGTTCAACGTGTGGGAGCGAAATTAGTGAATGGTTTTTCTAAACTTCCTTACGATGAGCGTTTAAAACGCCTAAACCTTTCCCCCATGTCGTATCGTTGGACGCGAGGTGACCTTATATTGGCATTCGTACCTTTAATTATGATTTGGGTGTTAATATGTCTTATCTTTTTGCTCCCTCCAGCACTAATAATCTCCGAGGTCGTACAAAGAAGGTTCATAAGCCGCGAACTAATAAACTTAAACTGGGGTTCCGTTTTTCTCATCGAGTAGTCAATTATTGGAATGCCTTACCCGAACAAGTGGTATCGGTCCCATCAGTGAATATTTCCAAGGAGAAACTGGGCCTTCACTAAAAGACAATCTGTAAGGATGAACACAGGCTCATTAACCTACTATCCTTATCACTGAAGACTGAAGACTGAAAATGCTCATGTCACCCTGAAACTTGAATTGAACCACATTTAATCATTGTCAACAATAGTTTAATATCGAGAAAGAAGTTCACTATTTCTGAAGAATGAAGTTTAATATATGTTATGACATTGTGTCGTTCTCTGACATTTCTTAAACATATTTGTTTCTCTATGCTATGTTGTAGGTCGAAATACAGAGCGGTAGATACACCGAATTCTGAGATGGTGCGTGTTGTAATTAAAAACCAGGTTTTTGAAGTATCCCCTCGTTATACTGACCTAAATTATATTGGGGAAGGAGCGTATGGAATGGTTGTGTAAGTTCTATCAGTTATTGTTCACGTACAGATCAGTGATGCTTTCGACACAGTAAGAGGTGAGAAAGTTGCCATTAAGAAGACCTCACCATTCGAACATCAAACGTTCTGCCAGCGAACATATCGGGAGTTGAAGATTCTTCTTGGATTTTCTCATGAAAATGTACGTTTAGCCACAGCTTATTATTTCCGTTAAGAGCACTTGGTAATATGTAGTAATGTAATCTTCAGAAAGTAATTACAAGTACGGATAAACTTTACATTGCACTAAGATACTAAGATTTTGCACGTTGATCTTCTTTTTTGGTCTCGTGGACATTGTTTTTATTGTCTCGAGCTCCCAAGTTTGGGGAAATTTCATAGTCTTTTGGGGAAACTCCCGAAGTCGAATGATCTTTACCAATGTTCGGGAAAATTTTGCAAAAATCCCCAGAGCCAGACGACCTAGACCAAGGTTAAAAGGGGATTTTCCCAGGACTGCGGAAATTCTGGGGTTTTTGTGCCGTTTCCCCAAAGTTCACTATAGCGGCTTCCCCAAAATGGGTCAAATTTTACCCGAAATTGGGAGCTCGGCGTCATTTTCGTTCATGTTCGCCTTCAAATGAAAGCTAAGTCAATACGTTTTAAAAGCTTGTGTATTAAAACCACACTGCTCAACAGCAACTAACAGAAGCTTCTGTGTTTCTGAACTTGCCTAAGCAATGTCTTTATGTTATGTCTGTTGGAAGTCTGAAGTCTTTAAATAGCATTTAAGAGTTCTCCAAAATAAATCTCATTTTCCCCAGTCTCTTGTTTCTCAGGTATCTAATAAGATAGAAGCTCCTTTGTTGTAAATCTGGGTGACTTTAGGTGTCTAATAAAGCCAGATATTGAAGTAATAAATTCTATAATGTTGTATTTTCCCACTTTCCCCACACAATACTTGAAAGTCGGTTTCTTAAATACAAATATTCGACGGTATTCCATATTTTGAGTTCGTTCAGTGTTTTCCGTATATTTTCAAGAGGTAAACGATAAAAAGCGATTTGGAAAAATAACGAAAGTAGGAATCTAAAATCTATTTGATACAATATCATGGGGCTCCTCAACAGTGTGCATCCACAAACCCAGGATCCTCGTTAAGAGGACGAAAAACTAATGTCCGGCGCTCTAACCGGGTTTGTGGGCATGGAGGATCCACCTAGAGGACTTGGAAAACTCTGATCCCAAACCAATGGTGCACATGGGCTCCAGGATCCTGAGGGAACAAATGGTGTATGAATCAATCGTTGGTCACCAACTACCATGGGACTGCATCTTCTGACGTTGCTCCACTGTCTTGTAGATTAGACCTATAGGTAGAAAGCTCGGGTAGTGGACTCCTAAGAAAACCACCTGCTTCGGTCTGTGCACCCAGGCAATATCACAGCCCTCACAGATATCGAATGATGAAGTGCGGCGCATATGTATTCGGTGCTTCCTTGTACCAATGTGTTCAAATAAATAATTAAAAAATAGGGTGATCAATCAAGTTGTAAATGGTATGAACTAGAATCACTCGAAACTGCTACATATTTCACGGTTTAGTGTTTACGATTAAAAAATTGGTAAAATGCGTGGTTTTAGCCCCTAGTTTTATTCAGCTATTATAACCGTGATTTCCATTGCCTTATATCCCCTTATCTCACAGTCTGACGTAAACTGTCGGAACTTGAACCTTACGAAATTTCACTAAAACCTTTTGGGACTAGTTTTCAGATAATATAATTCAAAACCGGTCACAACAGTGCAAATATATTCATTCCTAATCTTGTTTTTGAGTTCCAGTATTCTTCCATACATACCTTTCAAATCATATTTTCAGTGTCCGGTCCTTCCTATTGTTATTATTCCTGCTACATTATTTCGATTCATCATTCGATATTCATTTCTTTCAAATTTATCTTGTCTTCCCGTCTTAGATAGGTAATGAACCGACCCACATATATGCCGAGCTTTACGTTGACCATAACTGATTCACTGCCTGTTTGTTTGCCTCACTCAATACTCATTTTATGGGTTTTACAAGTGGTATAAAAAGTGTCATTTTCATCTGTCACCAAAGTTACAATTATCTGTTTATTACTCGTAGTAGGTTGGTCATTGCACTAAACTGTACATGAAGGTTGTTAGATTAGTATACATTAAACTTTACCAATGTCTCTAAGATTTCCATTGATATCAACTGTTGCAAATTATTTAGCATTTTTCGTGAACATCCAATTCTACTGTGGATGGACATGATCCATGGTTAAATTTTCTCTAAAATCATATCAATCAAAACTCAATCTCTTTTTTGTCCTATTATCTAGATAATTGATATCAAAAATATTATACTAGTCGGAAACACATTAGAGGATATGAAGGATGTGTAAGTTTGTTTGCTTTATCTAACTTTTTTCCCTAAATTCCAGTTATATCATTCAAACACTAATGGATACTGACTTGTATAAATTACTGAAAACACAGGAGTTGTCAGGAGAACATACTTGCTATTTTTTGTATCAAGTACTCCGAGGTAAAAATAAATCGCTATCCGAGCTAATTTTACTACTTTTTGTATTTTTTTAGGTCTCAAATACATCCATTCTGCAAATGTTCTGCACCGTGATTTAAAACCATCTAATTTATTGCTAAATGCAAGCTGTGATCTAAAGGTGAGCAATCTGTGCATGAATAGCAGTCATTTTGTAACCCAATAAGCACTCACAGGTTTATGTATTAATATTTAACGGTAGGCACATTCAATTGATTGGCCATATACGTTGGAATCAACTAGTGAATAATAACAAGAACTGACTTAAATCAATAAATAGCGATCGTAAGTCAGTTGATGAAACAACAAATCTTCGTCTACTAAAGTTGCTGTAAAATATGTTGTCTGTCCACTCACCACCTGTCACGATTTGAAAGTAGGTTCAAAGAAAGTTAGATGCACCTAAATCAAAACAAGACATTAATTCAAAGTCATTGATTATTGATCTAAGACTTGCAGTGAGAGGCAGACTTCCCGATAATCGTAACCAATATCTGACGACCCTAAGTTATGTAACGCAATCGGTTGCAATGGAGCAAATATATTCGGTTTTATCTTAATTTGAACCCTGAGATTTTATGTCATTTTGTACATTTTATTTCTCGATTACATGAGCCAGTATTAATATTTTTACCCGTTTGCTTCTCATCGCATTAATTTCTCCAATTGTGTTGATATAACATGATCATTTAGATCGCTACATATCTCTGCAAATACCACCGTCGTTTGCGATTCACTGAATGCCTAAACAAGCTATGTCATATACATAGTTTGAGAGTCATTCGTAAAATCTCATTGCTTATGGCCTAATGAATAAAATAAGCCTCAAGTTCACTAATGGTTACGAGTTTTGTGACGTAACCAATGATCCACAGCTTTATCATCCTAATTAACTATTCTGGGTAGCAATTCAGAAAACGTTGCAGTATATTGTTTCTTTTTGAAGAGCTTGATGATGGTTTATCATAAACGCAGCTAGATTACCACCTGTGGGTAGTGGTGGCGGTGTTTTCGTTAAAGCTTATTTCAAGTGCTCGATTTGGGCAATAGGATAGTATCATTAGCATTTATAAAAATTGAGTAGATTAACTTGTCAATGAGTCACTTTGTGTAGTATTGCTAGTTAGAATTTTCGAGAGGGTTGTATGCATTTATGTAAAGTAAATAAGTTTCTATAGAATAGGAGAGTAAAATAAGATGTTTTGCTGTAAAATGCACTTTTAAACTTAATTATCTAGGAAAAAATTAAACCACTTCGACTCATGAAACTTGTCTATCAAAATGGAATTAGCACATTTTAGTATTTCTTGTTTGTTTTTAAAATAATTCAAAATGCCTGGTATCTTTATTGCCGTATTTAATCCCCTTTAAGTATCCCATTTAATTTACATCATTTGCGTGTTTCATACTTCCCCAAAAACTACAAAAATCTAGTGTCTTCTTGTTGTGAAGTGTTAGGGATAAGTGAATATTTGTATATCTGAGTTGTATTAGTGAGGACAGTAATATGGTAGGCAGGGTCTACTCTTCCATAGCAAATACTACAATGACTTAATCTAACCCGATACATTAGTTTATGATACTGGAAAAGACAGTTTTGCCTTATATTCTTGAAACCCGGTTTTCAGCAGGTGAGGATATCTGTGGAGTGAGCTTATAGTCACCATTACCTCTGAATGGTTGCATTCAGTAGGAAGACCGTTCAACTCATTTCGAGGTCAGGTACTGTGTAATTAGGTATGAGAAATATTACACTAATCAATTACTAAGTAGTAGTAGTAGCTAGGGTTGTGTCCTAATTCTTACTGTTAGTTAGATTCTGTCGATCAAATTTGTGTAGCTGCTAAATGAAGTGACTCGACATCACACTGTACTACTTTGTTTTGATGTGACATAGTTCTGGTGAGAAATCCTTCAACTTCGATTTTGTGCTAGTTGGGACTCGTTTATATATTAGATACTTCGGTCAATTAGAAGGTATTTTTGTTGAGTTAGGATCTTATATCTTATCATGACTCCCTAGACAGGGTTATGGTGATTTTGTAGCATTCTCGTTTGTTCTTTGTAGCTTATTCCTCAAAATACTCAACATCTAACCATTGTGTTACATGTTCTGAACCCTGTCCAACTACTTCAGTTCGCTCATCACAGTCCTCACAGATATCGAATGAGATTTGTGTGGCCTCTATGTATTTGGTGCATCTTTGTACCATTATTTATGTGTTGGAATAAAACTAATAAAAACGTCAGAAGATTCAGTCCCATGGTAGTTGGTGACCAACGATTGGTTCATACACCATTTGTTCCCTCAGGATCCTGAAGCCCATGTGCACCATTGGTTTGGGATCAGAGTTTTCCAAGTCCTCTAGGTGGATCCTCCATGCCCACAAACCCGGTTAGAGCGCCGGACATTCGTTTTTCGTCCTCTCAATTTCGCAAACAACAGTAATGCCACGAGAAGGCAGTGAGTAGGACTTCAGTTGCAGTGGTTGTATACGCGTGGCCGTGTTAGAGTATTCCGAGAGGAGTTAACTCTCCAGACTCTCGGTCGTGCCAGGGCATTTAGGTGCTCTATAGGCTAAGCGTTCGTGCGCGAGAACGAGGATCCTGGGTTTGTGGATGCACACTGCTGAGGAATCCTGTACTCCGGTACTTGCAGATTCTTTAAGGTTTTCTAACACTAGTCGGTTCATGGTCCCAATGAAATTATGTCGCGTCTTTCCAAAGGACCCAGATGCTCTATTTACAGTTTGGGTTTAAAATTTATGTTCCTTCAGTAAAGTAGCCTCATTCACTTATATAGTGTTAGCCCATGTATATCCACTTTCTCCCTAATGTTTTTGTGAAAAAAACACTCCTAACGTAAATATTGTCACCAAACTATTTGTAATTTCATTTATGAATAGTCTAACTGTTCTTAAAACTTGGCAGCCAGATTACTGGATTTTTTCGTGGAAAATGGCTTGGAAAGTTTTCTCTTTTGTTTTTTCCTTATAGTAAAATAACGGTGATTTGCGAAAACGAATCTGGACTCGTAATAAATAAATCCCTTTTAACTTTTTCCTATTATTTAGATCTGTGATTTTGGATTGGCTCGGGTTAACGATCCTGAACATGATCATATGGGGATGCTCACCGAATACGTTGCTACACGATGGTATAGAGCCCCAGAAATTATGCTCAGCTCAAAAAGCTATACAAAAGCTATTGATATTTGGTCTGTAGGCTGCATTTTTGGTGAAATGCTAAATCGTCGACCATTGTTCCCCGGGAAACATTGTATCCTTTTTTATAATTTTTTTTTTCACTTTGTTCACCTCATGCCTATGAGTATAATTAGTGTTTCCATTTGCCTTATCAGATGATATATTTGCATTCAAGAAATGAAGTAAATTTTTTGATGGGCTTTGATAGTCTATTTGAACTCATGACGTTTTTTGTTAGTTGAAAGGTTCTATTTGTTGTTGCTCAATAATAACAATGAATATTATTTCAGTTATCTTAATTCAAGCGCATGTACTATTGTACTTGACTTTTTATGAATCTAAAATATTCTAAATTACAAATGGTGCGATAGTATTATTGTCTTGATAAAAGCTCGTGAATAGTAGTATATTTTAATAGTTTATCGACTGAGTTTTCTATGTTACCGTACAGATTTTGAACTAAACTGTAAACAAAAGTTTCAAAATGTTTTATCCAGTTATGTAAGTTGTCTAGACAGTGATTATTGATTTCTTCATAAATAATCCGTTATTTCAGTATCATTTGTATAATAAAAAAATTCATTCAACACAAGTAGTAGATAATATCTGAAAAATTGATAATCTATACAGTACATAATTAGCTGATTTATAATTTAGGTTAACAGTAAGTAGTGCACTGGTTAGCGTTTTTTTAGCGAGTTAGTATTCTGCGGGATGGGGTCGCTAACCCCCATGCCCAACCCTCCTTTATCCGGGCTTGTGACCGGCAGTAGCTCCAGAGGGGCCCCAGGCTCATCAGCATATTTACAACTGAAGAACATCTGGAACTCAAAACAACCGTCTGTCAACCAACACCAAAGTCAGGATTTTCTATACAAATGTCACGACAGTTCTACTGTTTGGGGCGGAAACTTGGAGAACTACGAAAGCCATCATCCAGAAGATACAGGTGTTTATTAACAGTTGTCTACGCAAAATACTTCGGATACGTTGGCCAGATACTATCAGCAACAACCTACTATGGGAGAGAACAAATCAGATCCCAACGGAGGAAGAAATTAGGAAGAAGCGATGGAAGTGGATAGTACACACATTGAGGAAATCACCCAAATGAGTCACAAGGCAAGCCCCCATATGGAATCCACAAGGCCAAAGGAGAAGAGGAAGACCAAAGAACACATTACGTCGAGAAATGGAGACAGATATGTGAAGAATGAATAACAATATGATAGAACTGGGAAGGAAGGCTCAGGACAGAGTGGGTTGGAGAATGCTGGTCGGCGGCCTATACTCCGTTGGGAGTAACAGGTGTAAGTAAGTAAGTAGTGTACTAGTTTTACCTATTTAATTTCGTGATATCACTAGGAATTGCTAACAAGCAAGAAATAGGTATATGAAGAGAGTTATGAGGAATTTGAATAGTTTAGTATCTGAAATTACTTATCTTATGACTTCTACTAATTGCGTTATTCATGCCATTGTGATATATGTATATACTTTTTCAATTATGACAAGAATAATGGGACTAAAATGAAATAAGTATTATAATATATTTGTGTATTTGCAGATGAACAGGCCGTTGCCATGTGATTAGATATATTATTTTAGAATTACACTTGATTAGAAAATAAATATTTTACCATTTACATTTATAACTTAAAGGTAGTCTTCGTTATGGACTAGCGTCAACTAAACAAACCTCAGGAATTAGGGATTATTGAACTGAAGGCGTTCCATCTGAGTTTACGGTATATCATCATTGCGTACCCACTATCCTTCACGAATTATCGGGATCAAGACTAAATTTTTTGAGCATGTAATTTAGTTAACATGATCAGCAGTTCAGAATGTAGTAATCTACATTTTTTAAACTTCAATCAATTCGTAATTCAGCGCAATAACTCCTTATCTTATACTTCTACCAGATGTTGAACAACTAACCCTTATCTTAGGAGTTTTAGGATCACCAAGCCGTGAGGATCAAGTTTGGATAGTGAATGATAAGGTCAGTTTTTTTCTCATATGCTTACTGGTTAGTCTTGTAAATAAAAGCCAAGTTATCATCTATTAATATGATTTAACTTTATTCAATCATATTAGATATAATTTATGTATCTTTTGTTTGATGCAGATAACAGGATTTTTTGGTTTCGTAGTTTAATTATTTAAATTTCACTCACTAAAGACTACTTTCTCTACTCTTTATTATGATGTTGACAACTTTATAGTAATATTTTCAACCGAATAGCTTAATTCTTTTGTGACTATTCCATTGCAGTCATTAAATGATAACTTCATACTATAGAACAAATATATATCTATTTGAAGGGGGTTTTGTGGAGATTTTAGTAATTTCAGTAGTTGAGATCATGAGTCAATTGAAGCTAGGCCACCATGAAAGAACTGGAAGCAGTGGACGGTCGTTTCGTCGCATCGTGAGACTCCTCAGCAGAGCGCATCCACGGCCCCACCTCGCGAGATTCAAGCCCAGGACCTACTGGTCTCGCGCGCGAACACTTAATCACTAGATCACTGAGGTGGTATAAACTAATTCACGAAATTGATCGACACATCCACCATTGTCATCAGTAAGTTACTATTTCACGACTGACTCGGTTGAACTCCAGTGGTCACTGCTCCTCACTAGAACTCCAGGATATACGCCTTGAAGTGATTGGCTTCACTGCTGAGGAGTCCCACAATATAATGGAACGGCCGTCTAGTGCTCCCAGGTTTTCCATTGTGATCTCGCTTCAATTGACTCATGATCTCAACAATTGATATATCTATTTTTTATTGTCTGTTTTGTTATCTCAGTACAGAAACACACATACATGTTTGATAGATATAAAGGTTGATATATTAAGCATTTTTAGAATGTATGTTACACATACTTAGTCAATCTATCCAGAAGCACTGTGCTGACCAGCTTTAAGGTTGGTTGTCGATAAGGTTAAAAACTGCTAAATATGTGGTTGATAGAACCTATATACAATTGTGTCAGGTTCTACATTGACTTTTAGCGACTGCCTGAAGAGTTGTAGGGGAATGATGATTTTGTGATTTTTAATTCGTCATATTATCTTACTGCATTATTGGAGTTCTTAAGTGACATAGTTGTAGACCAGTGGTAACGAACCAGATTCACACATTCTTAATGTTTTTTCTAAACTTTTCAGTTTTGTATTATCCTATTCACTTTATTTAGTTTTGTTGAATACATTTACCGATGTTTCGTCTTTCAATACACCATTTTAGCAATTTATAAATATGAATAAAATAAATGAACTATGCTTATTATTAGTAGCTTCTCTCCCTTATCTAGATAATTGTTTATCTCTTAAATTATTGATTCTTCTTTCTTTCTAAACAATTTAATTTTTTGCATAGGCTCGAAGCTTCGTGGAGAAGTTTAAAAATAATCCTCGTAAATCATGGAAAGATATTTATCCTTCGGCGGATGCTAAAAGTAAGTTTTTTGTTATAATCTTCATATTCATGCAACCATATGATCACCTATGTCTTCGAGATCCATTTTAACATGATAAATCAGTTTTACTTTAATCAATACCACTCAATAAGATTCACCAAGAAGAATTCTGTAGTGTTTCTCTACCCCAAATGTATTATTTCATCTATAGCCTAACATCCTAAGCTTTGTCTGATCGTAAGCTTGAACTGGCACAATTGACGTTGAATTAAACCCGATATAAATCTTAACGCTTATTTTCCATGGTTCCGTTTGTTTGGTCGATAACTAGAATGGAACAACAAAACACCAGGTAGTTCCGAAAGTACAACTTTGTTCAGTATCCACCCCGTTACAGCGCTTAGTGTATTAAATACGCCCACGGATATATGTATATAAATTGACGAAGTGTAAAAATGTTTCTCCTACTAAACACTCTTGCTAAACATATCCGGCCACACATTTATTATTATTATTGTCATGTAAATTGTCATAATTTCATGCGACACAGTCTGAAGTATTTTGAAAGGTTTATTTTTTTTATTATATTGGTTGATTTAATGCTATGTGTCTTACATATGACATTTTATCAATTTCAACTATTTTACTATATAAGTATATTACAACGGAAAAACGATCAGGACACCAGTGAAATTTTAGGTCACGTATTATATATGCATATATCACACGTTACTAACTAATTGTACTTATATCACAACAATCAATGAATCTTATTCTTTTTATTTTGCATGTATTATGCTTGTGAATTTCATAGTATGATTCATGTATTAAGTTGCATCAGCGTACAACTTAACTTCATTAAGCTTATATAACTTATTTGTCAGCTAAATATGTATAGATTCACCTTCGAACTACACTAATTATTTAAGGTCTAGTGCTAATATCCGAAAACTCAAGTCAAAGTATATAAGTGAACACCGAATATGCAATAGATTTGTTAAAACTTAAATGTTATTAACTCCCAAACCACTGCTTCATTGTCATAATCGTATTTAACTCTTTACAGGTATTAATATTACGGTATATTAGTAAAAATTATTTGAAAATGTTTTCAAAAGTTGGGAAAAGATTGAAAATATTTCGTCTAATTCAGCATTCAATAGAAACTTCTTTGGCAGCCCTAGAAAACAGCAATGTATATATATCATATACTAGGCTGTTCGTGTCACAAATACACATATAGGTCCTCTTGTTTTCTGTGCCTTAATATTAAAAGTAAAACTTATTTTGATGCTTCTCTCGCCTTTTATCTTCTGCTCAGGGCTCCAATGTAAGTTTTCTGGAGGATTAAAAGGTGGTTAAAAAGTCAAGTGTCCAAATATCAGATATATCAAATATCTGGGTGGTGCAGCTACATTCACTTTTTTTCTTCCCTTAAATCCTAAGTTTCTCAATCCCGCATAATCTGTTTTTTTATTTAATCCGACAATCTCGTCTCTGAGCCATTGGATATTGCGGCTTGAATCAATGTATACATGTGCCAGTTTCTATTTTGCGTTTGACTTACTGATCATCACTTTGGATTCTTTTGTTTGTAAAACTCACTCTTTTGACTTCTATTTGTTTTTTATTCACAGCAATCGACCTTCTTGATCGTTTATTAACATTCAATCCAACCACACGTATCACCGTTGAAGAAGCCTTAGCTCATCCTTATTTTGAACATTACTATGATCCTAGTGATGAGGTAAGATCATTAGTGTTATAAATAAAAAGTTTTCGTCTCCAAAATTTTGTTCGGCATTTATTTTTTTTATCCTAAACTCCGGTGATAATCAAATGTTTCGACAGTCGATAAAGGTACGCTTTCTTTTCAGCTTACGTTCCATATCTAACAGGTTGCTCTAAACAATATTTGATTTTCATGTTTGGTGATAAATAATTTCAACGTTTTTTTACTGACAACTCACGTTTTTAGATTGTACATTTAAAATCAGAATTGTTTTTAACGTACCCATTGTTACGGTTTTCCCTGCAATAATATTCGAACTTGTTGCTAATCCAATCATCATCATCATTGCATGAATGCGTATCAGTTCAAGTTGTCACACCTCTCAGATTAGCACGACAGAAGAAATTATCAAGATCTAAGAGGTAATAAAGAATTATAATTGTGACAAATAACTTAATCAGTGGGAAATATAATTCTTGAGAAAGAAATGTACACAACTAGTGAAAAATTAGGAATTACGTTTAAATCGAGTTTTTAGAGGGAGATAGAGACTGAATGCAGTTGCACCCCTGAGGCTTGAACTTTGCCTATGACACCCAAGTCCAATCTTTGATGATGAGTTTTCACGGACGCTGACCAAGAAGATGTTTCTGTTTGATTTTAATCCTTCCTTTTTTTAACTTGAGACCAATAGAATGAAGTAGTGCGTACAAAGAGAATACTAAGCAGTATAAGACATAATACAAACTTTTCAACTGGATTTCTAATTTTCAGCGCCTAAATTATAGGAGTCCATTTAAAAATCATGAGATAGGCTATGTGTCCGTGAATTCATGGTGCAGCTGTCTTTCTATGCTCTACATGTGTGCAATATCAAGTATTTTCGTAGATTTCTCTATTCATTTAGCGTGTAGTTATTACAGACAAATCCATAATGTTCACTGTGAATTTCATTTTATACTCTAATCTTCACTTGATTTGTTTTCTTATTCTACAAATTGGGATACACTATAGTAATCTGTTCACAAAATACTTGAATGGCTTGAATGGAGTTCCCAGTGAAAATCATGCTCTTATGTATATTACTCAACTTAACAAACGAATGGAAAAGAAACCTAGATATTTATTCATTTATTTATTTATTTATTTTAACACATAGATATTGGTACAAGGAGGCACCAAATACATAGGCGCCACACAGATCTCATTCGATATGTGAGGGCTGTGATACTGCACGGGTGCCCAAACCGAAGCAGGTGGTTTTCTTAGGGGACCACTCTCCGAGCCTTCAACCTGAAGGTCTGATCCACAAGGCAATGGAGCATCGTAAGAAGATGCAGTCCCATGGAAGCCGGTAACCAGCAATTGGTTCATACGCCATTTTTTTCCTTCAGGATACTGGAGCCCATGTGCACCATTGGTTTAAAATCCGGTTAAAGCGCCGGACATTCGCTTTTCGTCCTCCCATTTTCGTAAAAAACACCCCCGCCACGAGAAGGCAGTGAGTAGGACTTGCCTGGCAGAGGTTATATACACGTGGTCATGTGAGAGCATTTCGAGAGGGAGAGCGGACTCTCCCCACTGTTGGCCGTACCAGGGCATTTGGGGGCGACCTAGATATTGCTTCTTATTGAACATTGAAAAAATCCGATAGCTATTTTCACACAAAAATATGTTTGTTATTTATTTTTAAAAAAGATTCAACAACATTTTCTGTTCATTTTGGAATCCATTGTTGAAATCTTCCTATTAATAGTAATATGTATTTTGTCTATCTCTTCACTTTAGCCTGTTGCTAAAAAACCATTCAGTTTTGAAGAAGAATTAGATAATTTACCTGTTAGACAATTGAAAAAAATGATTTTTCAAGAAGTCAGTCAATTTCGTGAACCAGATTGAAGTCCTCTATCGCTTATATATCTATCTATCAGATGTTTCATATATCCTACAAGCTGTTTATTTGATTGTTTATTCATTTAGTCAAATGTGTTGTTTACCACTGATTCGATTTAGTAAAATTTGTAAACATTCCACCATATATATATATATTCCAGAGACTACTGCTATGTGAAGAATGTCCTTTAAATAATACACTTGCATAATTCCTTCATCCAACCCCTCTCTCTGTTGCTGTTCCCATAATAAATTACATCTTTCTTTTTCGTCCAACAGATATGTATTTGTCTCTCTTGCCTGTTGTATTTCATGCATGTTCACGTGTGTTTGTTTGTTTGTTTGTTTTTACGTTTTTCTGTTGGTCGATTATGTTGTCATTTTATCTTTTATCGTTTTGTTTATTTGTTTGTTTGTTTTTCAAATCAAAATAAGAGAATTCATCAATTTGACCTAAAACCTTTTTCTCCTAATAATAATAAGGATAACTTTTTCCTAACCATATTCATCTTGATGTAATAAACAAAAATACCGTTGTGTGAAAATTGTGCCTTAATCAAACAGTTATGTTGTATTTATACTATTGTTCTGTTCAATCCGTTCCCTATTGTGAAAAATCACATTACCAAACAATCTATATTCATTCTATAAAAGATTCTTTTATGGATGTATTTTGTGTGTATACAAAAACAGTTATCAATTCTATTGAACGTGTATTACTCCTTTTAGTCTTGTTTGGTTTTGTATCATTATTTTTCGATTCTATTGTTTATTCTCTATTATCATTGTAGTTCTTCTCTGTGTTCGTTTTGGACAGCTGTGTATACACTGATACATATATATGTTATACATAGCTACTTCTTTCACAGTTTGTTTGTTTTAATTTTTCGATATAAACATTCATCAACTCGTATTATTTCACCATTTGTCTTTCCGTGACTTCTATATGGGGTGGTGGTGGTGGCGGCTCTGCGCCAAGCGTATTACTTGTGAATGGGGAAATTCCTCATTTGATCCTTTTATTTGAGAAAAATGACTTATTTATCTTATCAGATCGTTCGGTTATCCTCTACTTATCATCATCATCACTTCTCGCAATTGACTATCATATTTGTGGTTTGTTTTGTAATTCACTAACTCGTCACCTAATGTACACATAAACAAATCTGTCTTAATTTTTATCCTATCAGCTCCTTTCTTTTTGTTATTTTTGTTGTCATCTTCCTTGTTTACTGTCTTTCTTAATGAGTACAATTATCATCCTTGCTTCGATGCCCTACATACACAAACATTTTTATATATTCTCATTCTTATCACAACCAACAAATATTGTATCATTACACCATTTTATAAAGTTGTTTAACTCTTCTGATGTATTTATTTTTGCTGAATATACTAACTGTATTGATAATAGACGTTTTATCTCATAGTGATAGTGTGTTTACGTGTGTGTGGATTTGTGGATATTGGTATATCCACCACATACATACATACAATATCATATCAACCAACCTACATGTTGTAAATTCTTATCATGTCATATGTCTATACCTTCAGTTGTTGTTTTCGATTATTTTTCTTGGTTTATCTCTATTTTATTACTACAAGGTATGTTTACATACATATATATAGTTTCGACTCAAGCGCTAACATTATTATTATTATTATTATTATTAATAATACTGACGAAGAATCCCTTCTTGATACTTAACACATTTGTTCACTGTTGAATCAAGCTAGTAATTGGGTTACATCATTAACCCGTCAGTCAAAATGTATACTAACCATTACATACTTGTTGAGATACATCCTATATATATATATATATAAATATATATATATATATATATATATATATATATATATATATTTATATATATATATATATATATATATATACCGAGTTAATCTGATTTATGCGTGTGCGATGATACTTGGATGTTATTAGCTTATTTGTATAACATGCTTCAATATTATCGCACCTTTTTTTAAAAAGAAAAAGTATACAGAATAAACTATCCATAAATGTTAATTACTGTTATTATTATTATTATCATCAATAATAACCTTTCTTTATATTTCTGTTTATAATACCCCTATGCTGTAGAATATATATGTATACTACTTTTTTTTAAGAGTTGTAATGGTATATTGTTGTAAGTGTATTGCTATGCTTATTGATGATAATCAGGAGGGTGTTAGTATTAGTTATTTATAGGACTGGTTGAAATAATTCCTCTTTCGTAGTATAACTGAGAGTTTTGTGATTCATGTATAAGTAGGTGTATTTTTTCTCTTCATCTGCTCATGAGATTGTTGCATGTTATTAATATTATAAATTGATCTAAATTAGAAATCCATTGAAAACCAAGAAGGATTGATCAATTGTTTCACATAATACTATAAGACTCCTTAACAATATATTCATCATCCTACCAGAGATTGAAGCCGGAGCATTCATTTTCACAACGAATGCTTAACTTTCAGACTATTGATTTCGTATCCATTGATTTGCATGTCTAACTTCAATTAATTCATGACATTGCAGTTCAATGCTTGGTTTTACTGATTTCTCTCATTATATATCTCTACAAAAGTGTCAAAACGTTCCTTTTCAAGGAAATGCTGTTTTGTAGACTAATTTTTCACTGGAGTTGTGGGTGTATCGCTAAATTGTCTTACAATAGATTTCTATTTTTCTCGAGTTGACATCATTTTGGAACTTTAACCACCATCAAACTATGTACATCCTTAGATTGGTCACTGAGTGGTGGCCAATATCATGTTTGTTTAGTCTTTAGTGCAGATCGGATTTTGTCGACTAAGTTGCAATGTGACCATAGTCCAAGTGATTTGATAATATGTTTTGACGCTGGGTGGTTAAGGGTATTTGGCATTGATCGGCAATGTGTACCTGTAATCCTGATGGAATCGATGCTGCTTGTTGGATAGCAACCCAGATCACCTAGCTTTATTGTCTGAAACTACCACTTAGCCATACGGATCGCGAATTAAATTCTGTAGGGTAGCGTTATTCACATTGGTAATTGACCACTGAATATCGGCTAATATCATATTCTTCTAGTCCAGAACCAGCTTTTGGATCCCATTAAGAGCACCAGTCCCGTGAAGATTGAAGGCACACCTTACTGACGTATCCTAATTAGCACAAAACCTGGGTTCAGGGTTCGCTGACGATTAACCCTGACCATCCAATATCAAAATGTAAACAGACCTTTCTCCAAAACATCTTGGTAATTAATTATATTTGTGGCACCGAGAGATCATGAATATTCCAAGACAAACGTAACTTAAAAATTGTTCAATCATATGTGCATGACTAACTGAAATATTTTCTACCAAATAGTTTGTTCGACACTTCATATTTAACTTATTTGCATTTTTCCTCTGTTAATTCAATAATATGTCATGAAATCAATTGATTTATCTATACTCTACTGGACTTCTAAGATTTGAGTCTTGTTTTTAACGTCCCTTGATTCTTTTGCTAATTTGGAAAAGATACCATTTAGAATAAAGGAACAAAACAGGAAATATACACCGTACATATTAGGTTGTCATTATTTATCGATAATTATAAAGAATTGTCAGTAAGGGACTGGAAATTGTCGCATTTCATTGAAATCATGAACCGATTAATGATAAACCACCTTCAAAAACCTGGGAGTACAGGACGCCCGTTTTGTCTTACTGTGGGACTCCTCAGCAATGAGCATCTGACTCCGCACACGGGGATCGAGCTCAGGATGCGCTCTGCCGAGGAGTCCCCTATCGCAGGTGTCCAGTGCTTCCATGTTTTCAATGGTGGTCTGTCTTTGATCGATTCGTGATCTAAGTGATACGAAAAAGATTAGTTTTTAACGTTCTTAAAATCACTTCCAATAAAGTTTTCACATATATGATTGTGTATATACGTAGTTCTGTTGTTTCGACGTTGATTTGCTAGATGAGGCGAAAACACATCAGTTTCATTTGACAGTGGCTAAAATAAATAACTTTCACAATATTTTTGAACTTGATTCAATCACTAAGCGTTGCGTCACACTTACTGTTAGGTTGATGTCCAGTCACAACACTAGATCTAATCATTGTTTGATTACCTACTGCGACGAAAGATGAGTTTAGCTAATTGTAGTATGATCTATTCAAGCCCTGAAATAAATGTTAATTTGATGACGTTCAACACCTCATGAACTATTTCTTTGTTCCAGGTTTGTGATGACGGAAAGTTGTAACAAGCAGAAAATCACAGTACACAATATGTTTCCACCAGTTTATTAGTTAGCGTTACAATATCCGTTGATTAGATTCACGGTGATAGTTAATACATTTCCTAATGATTAATCTCACTGTATTTGGTGATGCGTAACTGTAGATTTCTCCATGCCGAATCAGCTAAATAGTTCCTTTTGTTACATCTGTCAACTTGCACTATTTTCTATTGGCTTAACCAAAGTTAACCTCATTCTCCAAGAGCTATTTCCTGAAAATTCTAGTAGGAAGCCGTGACCAGTGGATTTCAACTGGGTCTGTTGTGAGATAGTAGCTCACTAAGGACAATGGTGGATGGTGGCACAACTTCATGGATTGGTTGAACTTAGATATTAACACCGCTGGATGCCGTCCAGCTCAGTGGCCTAGAGGTTAAGCGCTCTTACGCGTGACTGATAGGTCCTGGGCGCGAATCTCGAGAGACGGGATCGTGGATGCGTACTGCTGAGGAGTCCCATGGTGGGGCGAAACGGCCATCCAGTGCTTCCGGGTTTTCCATGGTGATCTAGCTTCAAATGACTTATGAATTCAACTATTAAATTTAAATTATATGACAATACTTATATAATATTAATTATTTATCCATTAATTTTCTCTCTGAATTATACTTACTAGTCAACTATCAATCATATCATATAGGTCAGATTAAGGTGATGTTTTATTTTCTCTTCCCAGAAATGAATTTTAATGAAATTAGATTAGAACTATGGTAGAATTCCACGCATATACGTGTTGATCAATTGGCTTAAATCACTTAACCACAAGGTTGTTTCTATTTGATTTGGATAGTTGACTTTTGATAATAAAATCATGAGTTTAATTCTAACTTTTTATTTTTGTTTGAATAGATGGTTGTTAGTATCTTTAGCAGCAGTTTAGCTGTTTAATTGCTTATCTCATTAACCGATGTTTGATAGGTTCTAAACTGTATTATTAATCAGTTATCTTTATTCTGTGCTGTATGTCCAAATCAATGGTTTATCATATCCTCCTTGGCACATTCAAATAACTAAAACCAATTGGCACTGAACTGTTGGGATAGATCAACAGGTAGGACTCTGTAAACCTAGGAAGCAGGGTATATTTGTAATCCTGATGGAACTGGTGCCGTATTAGAGATTCCAGCTGGTGCTATGTTGGGTCACTATCACAAACGCCACTACTGATGTATGGGGGTTGTGACTCTCGGATTAGGGTGGGGATTTCGATCCACAGGATTCAAGTCTCAGTAAGAGAACTAGACCTATCAAGATTATAGATTCAATTTGATAGTGAGTGCCAACTAACACGAAACAAAGGGTTTCTACCAGTTTTCTTCGAACAACGAACTCAAATGCTTTCAGATGTCAAAGCATCGCTTCTGTACGAAGTGAATTATCTTGAATTTAAGCTTAGAAACGGATGTTATAGTGTTCGAATTATTGATGATCATTATTACAGATCACTAGCTACCTCTTTCGATTTATTGTATTGGTTAGCATAAAGGGACGTTGGGAGATTAAGGATGGTCAGATAGAGTATAGGCATCAACCCGAAATCCACAAGTTGTTTAAATGAGATTTCTCTGTACAGACGTCCTGGTAAGGGTAAAAGATAATTTTAGTCAGTGACTAAAACTCTGAACCACTATGGTTTAATATCGGTTTTGATGTTTAAAATGTAATTAGTTGTTTTCTAGCTATATTCTCATAGTTTAATTTTCACTGTCAGTACTATTATAATTTCAATCCCGTTCAACTAGTGTTTGTTGTGACAAGGTTTGAGAATTCGAATCAATGGATATGTTAAATTATTCAGCCTATATCTAGAATAGATGAAGTGACACGCTGATACCTAGAACTCGAACGGGTATTTCATTGAAGTAATTTTTTTTAAAGTAGTAAAAGTATAGTGACGAGCCAATTAGAATCAAAATTTTTGGGCTTTTGCGCGAAATTCAGATAGCAGTAAAAAATACCTTTGTACGCTGCTCGAAATGCTTAAAACGATAACAAAAAATTACTTTTTTTATTAATATAGAGTTAAAATTATAGCGTAAACACAACAGATGTTCAACTCTTTCACCGTCAATTGAATATAACTGGTGAATTAACTCTATAGTGTCGACAGGGTTATA